TTTCAATCATCAAGTGACAACAATTTCATGCCGTGCATACTTCGCTCGCATCATACGTTAACCTTTCACCATAGATAGCTAATTTTATATAAAGCAAAAGTTAGAAAAACATCAATTTTCAAGATTAAAGAACAAAGCAAAAACCGAGGCTTTTTCTCAGCCCCTAAATCTGGCTATTGATTTTAAGCCAAAATGACCAAAAATTTGGTGCAGGCGTTAAATAAATAATATATTACTGGAATTAACCCATCAAGATATAGATCCATAAACAGAAAAAAAAAAAAAAAAAAACTAATTCTACAACAGAAAGTACGATCATCGAGGACCCAGAAATACGAAACCCACCAAACCTTCTACAAATCAGTAAATGATAACTCGACAAATCTGTTTCCTGACAGATGACGAGGACGATAGGTAAAACCTACTGAGAGGGAGATGAAAGCACACCTGCGAGAAATGCTAAACTTGAGCACCCGCTCAGAGAGCTTGATTTTTTTGGAAACGAAAGTTCGGGACAAGGGATGTGAAGGGGAGATTGGCAGATCAATAGGGAGAAGGCGAGAGAAGTTGGGGAAAATTAGAGCGCTAAAAAATGAACAAAAGCCCAAAAGGAGAGGTCTAGATCTAGGGTTTTTTCTTATTTCTAAATTTTTGATAAATTACAAAGCTACACCTTAAATTTTATCAAAACTTAAAATTGGCACATTTAATTTTTTTAAGGAAATATCAATTTACTCTTTAAGAGTTAACCATCTAAAATATTTAATACAACATTTGAAATAAAAAATGTAATTCATGTCATTACTTTGATTTTTATATTTTTTTATCCAAAATAATTTTAGAACAAATTGTAAATGTATCTAATAAAAAAATTTGTAATACATGAAAAAAAATAACTAATGACATGATAAGTAATATCATATTAATAAAATAATGCTCTTTATCTTTTTTATTCAATATTTAAAGTATTTTTTTTTTCCGAATAAAGCATTTAACTCCTTTGAAATGAGAAACGAAGAATGAGACACATGACATTGGAGGATCGATGTTTAAGATGCAATAATGGGGCGCTGAAGTATAATTTCTACTATCTAATTCACGTTATCTATAATTATTTTATCTCAAGTCATGTATAAATTAATTTTATTAATTATAAATCTATTAATACTTTTTTTTTCTCTTCTTATTAACAAATGAATCAATGATAATCTTAAAGTTAATATGAACATACATTGAATTATTTTTTGGAGGATCATCTTTTCAACAATTGCTTAGCTCTTGTAAAAAAAAAATAAATGATTTTATTTATGATAATATTAATGGAGATTATCAAAATTGTCTTGAAATATCAAGAAACTCAATTATGCCCCAATCCACAAACGTTATCTAATGATATGAGAATGTATCTTTGGATTAACTAGAAACTTTCGCTATCTAAATTATTCAAGCTTAGTATAAATAAGTGTGAATGTAATGATCATGATGGCGTGTCTGTTGGTGACCTTGTATAGGACTATAGAGGCACTTGAATTACTAGTTACATGGTTAATCCTGACATTCGTTACCAAAACAATGTGGAGTTGTAGAGGTATTTAGAAATTTATAAGTTGTCTCTATAAAGAAAATTTACTATTTAATTATTGAGATAAACTCCTTCTATACTAGAGATTTAGTTAAAAGACTCCAAAGTGAAGAGAGATCAACAGTCGCTTTCATATTCAACTGTAAAACTTGCTTAATAAGGAACCAAATGTCCAAATTTTGCATATTTACCAGGAATGTAATATTTGCGCTGCATTTTTTACTTCACATGTCCATAACATTTTATATAGAACTACTATTATAGAAAGACTTTTAGAGAATTAAAAAATTCATATCTATCTTAATATTTATGATGATGTTGAATCAAGAATGACAGTCTAATTATTTTTTGGTTCTCGCATTTATTGTATCTTAAGAAAAAAAATGAATTATGTACATGTATGATAACACATTACCCATCATAAAGTGAATATTGTTGTTAAAACATATGAATAATCATTATTTAAGTGGGTAGTGCTTTTAAAAAGATTAAAGTGATTATTATATTACTTATTTAACATTTATCTGATAACAAACATATTACAGTCGTCAAACCATTATTGCTACCACCACCATTCTTATTATTTTTGTCATATTTGTTATGGTTATCTCAATCACCACCGTTACTCTTTTAATTTATACAATTGTTGACTATTACCATTATAATTGTTACTGTTGTTGCCAATATTAATATCATTATCGTAATTGTTCTACTACCACCACCACCACAATTATATTTTTAATATATTTATTATTAACACTATTATCATCACAACTACTTCTTATACTGGTGTCATATTGAACACTATAATCATTATTTTATTATTTAAACTAATATTATTGTTATTAATACTTTAATTTTTTTTATTGGTAACACTTTTATGATTATATTAATATTAATTTATATACTAAATTATTTAAAATTAAAATTTTATTGTTTAATTTTTTAGATATCTTTATTTAATGAGACGTAATATATAAATTTATATATGATATAAGTGGAACTCAATTCTTGACTATAGAACAAAACGCAAATAACCAATGTTCCAAAGTTCATTGATTAATTTTCTTCAACTACCTTAGCAGCCCTACTTTTTGCCCTACCATATGCTTAACGAAGTACTAGTTATGTAACAAATCGAACAAACACAGCCTTACCCAAAAGAAAAAAAAAAAAAAAAAAACAAACACACTTCTATTTTGTGATTTCATTACTTCTAGATCTCCATTAACATACTTTTTGTTAGATGATTTTAACCTTTTTTATTTTAATCTTTTGCGTAATCTATAAAGGAACCTGTAACCAGGTGTAAAGGCAATATGATTGTGCTGAGCGGGGGCCACTGCCAACCCCTAACAGAGCCGACTTGGGGAGACATGGTCAGCTCTCATGGTTCTGTTCCCACCGTCATAGCCGCCCTGCTCTAGTCATTGGTCATAAAGTTTAGTCGTCAAATTCAATTTATTACAACCTAAAATACGCTTGCCATGATTCACCAGCTCACAACACAGCATTACCCAGATCTGTAATAATAGAGTCGCCCTGAACTAAGGACTTTTGTTGGATTCCAAAAAACAAAACAAGATTCTTCTTTTCTCTTTGTTTGTTTTTTTTGTTTCAAGTGGGAAAAAGCCAAAAGTCTCTGTTTGGTGGTAAAAAATAAAAAGAAGGTCCTTCAAAGGTTTCATATTTTCATTTTTGACCCAAATCACACTCTTTTAAATCTCCGAATCCTCTAAATTGACACCTAACCTTCCCTTTCTCTTTTCTGCTTCAGTTTTCAGCTGCCCGTTCTTCTTCTTCTTCTCCTTCTCCTTCTCCTTCTCCTTCTTATTCGTTTTCAGAGGCGGAGGCTTTGTAGTTTTCGGTTAATCAAGGTAAGTTTTTATCTGTGTCTTTGGTTTCCTCTTTCGGTTTTCTCTGATCCAGCCCTTTCAATCATTTTTTTGTAGATTCTTACTAAATTACTATGACAAGTGTTTTCTTTTTATAGCCAAAATTCCTACTTTGGGCTTGTAAATTTCACCCTTTACCTTGTTTGCTTTTCAGCTATTTTTAATCGATTGGGAAATTTTCAAGCCTGAACTCTTGTGATCTCTAATCTAATCTATATCTGTTTCGTCTGGGTATTTGCTAAGTTGGCAGTATCTTTTATTATTTGATTTATTATGAGTTGAAGATGTAATAAGAAAAATGTTTTGGCTGTTTTATCACCATAATGTTTTACTTCTTCTGATATTGATCTGGGTATTATTAAAAAGTTGTAAGCTTTGATTCATTAAGTTGAGCATCATTTTTCAGGCTTCTATACATGTTTGTTTTCTTCAGTATATTCGGGTCTCTTGTGTTCCTTAGAGATAACCAGCAATTCTTGTCATCTTTTTTTGCACACCCCTGGTTTTAGATTGATGATAATGATTGAAATGATCTTGCATGTGACCTTGAAACTAATTTAGTTGATTCCCCTTTTAAGAAGTTCAAAGAGATGTTTTCTTCTTTATGAAATTCAAGTTTGGATATGAATCCTTAGAAAAGAAATGTTTTGGTTTTTAAGTTCCGAATTTATACTTAAAGATTTCCATCGTTCATAAATTTGTATCTAATATTTCATTGAGTTTCATGATCACCACAGTCTACTTTTCTCTGTGCAGGGATTATAAAATATGGCAGATGCAGAGGATATTCAACCACTTGTTTGTGACAATGGAACTGGAATGGTCAAGGTTAGTGAGTTAATATTTTGTGATTTAATAGCTTGCACAAGTTCAAAGTTTTCTCATAATTATGCCAGCTGTGCTTCCTTCTATCGGTGACCTTTTTATTTGAATGTTTAAAATAACATTAAAGCACATATCCACTTTATTAATATATACATGTGGCACACGTGCATACATATATAGATTTATATTGCATTATAAGGTCTTATATTTTGTTTCTGTGTATTGTAAGGGTAGATGATATAGCAGAGACTTATCCCATACCATTTTTTTATAGATTGTGAGCTTCAATATGATGTCCAAATAACATTCTTGAAGATAATGAAAGCTGTTCTTAATCAATGTAAAATATAAAAATTGCTAATATTTCTAAACAATCCAATATTTATAGGCTGGGTTTGCTGGGGATGATGCTCCAAGGGCAGTATTTCCAAGTATCGTAGGGCGACCTCGCCATACCGGTGTTATGGTTGGGATGGGTCAAAAAGATGCATATGTTGGTGATGAAGCTCAGTCTAAACGAGGTATTCTCACATTGAAATACCCTATTGAACATGGAATAGTTAGCAACTGGGATGATATGGAGAAGATTTGGCATCACACTTTCTACAATGAGCTTCGGGTTGCCCCAGAAGAACATCCGATACTTCTTACTGAAGCACCACTTAATCCCAAGGCCAATCGAGAGAAAATGACCCAAATCATGTTTGAAACCTTCGACGTGCCTGCTATGTATGTCGCCATCCAGGCTGTTCTTTCACTTTATGCCAGTGGTCGTACAACAGGTTTGTGTTGATACTTAGAAATTGTTAGTTTCTTGTTTAAATTTTGGATCACCACATTTGATATAACTCAAGCTAACTCTTGGAAGTCTTACTTTTGGTATTGGAAGCCTTGTTCTTGGGTAAAAATTAGATTGATATCTTTCAGAATTAGTTATTAATGTCACATTCGTAAAATTTCTTTTATACTTAAGTGAATGTATGGAATTTGGGTAAAATTTAGGAATTGAATAGATAGGGAGAGCACACTTGTAGTTTTTAATGCCCCCCCACCCGAAATTGCTGATACGTTCTAACTATATCACTTGGATATGTGAATAGGTATTGTCTTGGATTCCGGTGATGGTGTGAGCCATACTGTCCCTATTTATGAAGGTTATGCTCTTCCCCATGCTATCCTCCGTCTAGATCTTGCTGGCCGTGACCTTACTGATGCTTTGATGAAGATCCTCACCGAGAGAGGATACTCTTTCACCACAACTGCTGAGCGGGAAATTGTTCGTGACATAAAGGAGAAACTTGCTTATATTGCCCTTGATTATGAGCAAGAGTTGGAGACTGCTAAGAGCAGCTCTGCAATTGAAAAGAGTTATGAGTTGCCTGATGGGCAAGTAATCACCATTGGAGCAGAACGATTCCGTTGCCCAGAAGTGCTCTTCCAGCCCTCACTCATTGGAATGGAAGCTGCTGGTATCCATGAAACAACATACAACTCCATCATGAAGTGTGATATAGATATTAGGAAGGATCTGTATGGTAATATTGTTCTCAGTGGTGGGTCAACCATGTTTCCGGGTATTGCTGATAGGATGAGCAAGGAAATTACAGCCCTTGCCCCCAGCAGCATGAAGGTCAAGGTGGTTGCACCTCCTGAGAGGAAGTACAGTGTCTGGATCGGAGGATCCATTTTGGCTTCTCTCAGCACTTTCCAACAGGTAAGTTTTGTGCTTGGTCCTATTGATATTCTGAAATAATTGTATCGCGATTGTCCTTGATTCTTGAAGTTAGTTCTGTACGTAAGTTATGTTGTTAGAATTCCGTTGCCAATAACTTGTTTCCTGTCGCACAGATGTGGATATCCAAGGGTGAGTACGATGAATCTGGTCCAGCTATTGTTCACAGGAAGTGTTTCTAAGTCGGGTCAAGCGGAGAACAGACGAGTTATCCTATTCATCTGGTAGTCTTTGGGGTCATATCCAAATTTTCAGTTTAGTTAAACTTTTGAAGCTTTGGTTTATAGGTAGAAAAATATATTGGTGTCTCAGATGTTTGGAGTTGTAAACTTTTGAGTATATTATGCTTTGTCATTAGGTTTTGGAAAGCAAAGTTAATAATGTTGGCAGTGAGTGGGATATATATAATTATATAGACTTCTTTTCTTCTGGAAATTGGAGTGTAATTTTGATTGACTATGGTCTTATGGGTTTTTTTTATTGGACCATGAAAGTTTAGGTTTGCTCTGTGTTAGAAGAGAATCAGGAAGGTAAGTTTTTATGGTTTTCATTTTATGCCATAGTGGGATTTTGTTTATATTAACTGTAAGAATTAAGTCTTTACCTGAGTGTGGATATTGCTTATATTTTTGTCTTGTGTTATTTATTTATTTATTTATTTTCTTCAATAAAGGAAAGATACATTTGATTTTAATTACTCAAGTGGGGTGGTCAGGGTGGGTGTTATAATTTTATTTTTGATGTATCAAGGGCTTGGTTAATTTGAATTGGAAGTTTGAACAATTGATTGTTTATTGCTTCAAAGGAAATCAATTCAACAAGTTTGAATTGGGATTGACCGAACTGGGTGAAACACTACTTCTTATGCTCTTCTTCCAGTATTATCCAGCTTCAGACAATACTGAAATGTATATATATATATATATATATTCCACCACCAAAGAACTTGATGTACCCCTTCACCCACATTTCTTAAAATCCTCTTTGGTTCTCATGGATACCTGGCATAAGGTTTAACAGTAGAGGTGAACCATCTGAAAATGTGAGGGGAAAAATAGTTTATGGCAGCTCGTGGAATGATGATTGTCAAAGCTAAATTCAATAGTATCACTTTGCTTGCTTTATGTAAGTTGATTAGCCAAGATCAAACATCTAGTGGGTCAATCACTATTTCAAATATAGAACAATATCTCGTCGGACGATAAAAAATAGAGTGATCTGATTGCTTACTATGATAAAGAAAATCGTATTTAATGGCAAAATAAAGAGGTCCGTAGATGCTAGAAAAGATTCAAGAAACTTAACAACACAATTAATGAAATTATGATTTTGATGAATAATTAAACTACTCAAACATTATATTATTTGTATCGCATTCTCGTTCCGATTCCATAAAGTTGAATTTGAATGGAACATGAAGAAGAATAAGATTGTCGCTTTCATTCAAACTTTATCACATGTAGTCTATGTAACAGCTCCGAAATTTTAAAATGAAATATGTGTATTTAAAAAGGTTAAATGCGGAAGCGTAATAAAAATTTTGATTAACATCCCTTACACTAAAACCAAAAACGTGCCCAAAGTATAAAAAAACGAACTAACTAAAAGAGAAACTCGAAAATAAAAGCTATAAATATAACTATGGAGTCTTCAGGCGTCCCCTTCGCC